ATGTTTGAAATTCAATAAATTGAATGATAGGCTACCAAACAGGGAAAAGCATTCAAATGAATTTTATTAAAAAAATAAGGAACATGGCACTGGAAGAAACAGGCTTATTGGTAAATTTTGATGTAGAATCCATCTATACAAACACTTCTGGAGAAAAGAGGAGTATAACCTGGAATCACAACGGATCAGGGCCGAGTCGTTAGCACGATTGATCAGCTTGACAGTAAGGACAACCTATTTTACATTCAACGGGAACATCTGTGACCAAATATTTGGAATTCACATTGGATCGCCTCTCTCACCTCTTTTGGCAAACGTATACATAAACAAATTGGAAGAGAACTTCAACATGCCTCTGTTACAACCAGAAATGCTCATGCGGTACCCGGATGATTGCTTTGCACTTTGACCACATGAAACAGAAAAATTGGTAGATTTTCTTAAGTCTATAAACCAGATTGATGAAAAAATTAACTTCTCGATGGAAGTAGAGGAAGGTGAGTGGTTACCATTCCTGGATATAAAGTGTTTCGCTCTAATGGGACGCTCAAGAAAAAATTGTTCATAAAGAAATCTTATGTCCGGGTAGTACTCACTTTCCAATCCTATCACAATTACATGCTAAAGATAGGACTAATAAAGAGCATGATCATCACTTGCCCACGCTTAATGAATGTGGATTTCTGCGACGAAGAATTATACAAATTGACGAGGATAATCCTCAGTAACAGTTGCCAAAGCGAAGTCATGCAAAGAGACATAAATGCCATGAAAAGTTGATGGCAGAGCGGGAGCTACGAAAGAACAGTAAAGATGGGGAAGGATTCACAAAAGTGGATATGCGAATCAACTCAAAAACTACGGCCAATATTAAGGAAATGGAATATTTGGGTGGACAGAATTAGCGGAATAAATCACATAGACTGGACATGAGATAAAGTCGAAGGCAAATGAAAGAAAGGCTTCATACGCTTAAAACACAAGCAGGCGGAAGATTAAGGAGGATATTGACATTTTTAGGAAAAACTCTAATAAACAGGAGGTTGGAGGAAGGTATAGTTACCGATAATTTTGCCTACTGCTAAGCACACTTTGGGAAAAACAAGAATACAGCATGACCGGCAAAACAGAGACGCCTGGATCAAGGATCTACCGCTAACTGGAGGAAAAGGGATCGCGAGAAGGAAGTGAGGACATTTCGGCAATCAAGTGAAGACGTTGCCAGTAGGTGATGTCTGCTCGAATGAACGGGTACAAATTTGGGACCTGACAGTCAGGGCGAACGGATAAGCAAGCCGTCACAGAAATTCGGCGATATGGCCCAAATGTACTAGTAATCCACTTGAGATGTCGCATGCACGAGAGATAGGCGTCCACAGTTTGCTCAGGTAACACGGGTTTATTCAAGCAGACGACCCGTGAAGGCAATGCCCAAGATCTGCAAGGTTTGGCAATCAGAGCCTATAAACTTTGCTCGGTGAGGCGGCAATGCACGTGCTTCTAGGGCCTTGAGAAACAGGGCCTGGAGTGAAATGCACACTGGGACTGGAACCGAGTGAAATCGGTCAACCAGAAA